CCATGTCTCACCAAAAGAATGAGAGGTTTACGTGAGTTTTAGAGAATATTTGCTTATTTTTCCTGTCAGATTCTGCTTTAGCGAGACCTTGATTGAATTGAAGTTTCGTCATTTCCTTACCACGTCTAATTTCCTGACATAGAGGCTAATATTTCTAAGCGCCGGGATCCATGGGTTTCAATTTTGCACTTACAGTTAATCAGCCATCGGTGCTTTAATTTCAGTGAAGAGCACGGGCATTTAAACACGTGTAATAAACAATTCCAGCCGTCTTTACGATGATGGTGTCTGTTCGAAAATGAAGGTTGCACGCTACAGCTTATACTAAGACTGTAAAGTAACTTACAGAGATCCTGGACATCTGGGCGTGGTGCGCTCAAAGTATTGGGCACACATGTAATAAATCATTCTTATGAAAAAATTTAGAATGGGCGCATGAGGTTTTACCCCTCTAAAAATCATTTTCCCAACGTCTATGACAAAATAAAGAAGAGAAAGTTTATGCATGCCTAAAGAAAGAACAATGATAAAGTGACAAGTAGATACCTCAGGTTCACTACCACGCATAAAATGACTTAAGGCGCGTAGCACGGGCGACTTCACATTGGGCATTGTACCTAAACAATATCGAAAAAAGTAGAACAATGGAAATACAGGGCACACGACGCTTTATTTGCAATGAAGCTGATCGAAAGAAAACGCTAGGTATGCGTGGAAGGCTCAGCACAGTCACAGCGAAAGCTAGAAGAGCTGGCGAGAGATGGTGCAGCCTTCGGAATGCCGTTGGAATTCTATGCATGGTTTGAGGTAATCATTTCTGCGAAAACCTGATAAGCTCTAGTAATTATTCCGTTCATGATTGTGCAACCATTGCTAAACTTTCAATTGTCCAAGAATCAGCTACAATAAATTTATGTGTGCCCATGTTGTGGTACGGCCACGAAACGTTGAAGAAGTTGAACGAAGCTAACTTGTCCCTTGTGCCACTATGGCCTGTCGAAATTCATTGCTATATAGGCTTGTGCGTTTTCGTAGTAGGGTGTGAGTAAACACGTTGAAGTGTGTGCCACTGCAGTGAATTGTTTATAGTACTATTGTTTATTGAGTTGACTCTATATGTAAGTGTAATATGTGTCCTCAAGTGTGTGTGTAGTTATATTCAATTCATCAGCATATACTAAGCATCCGTTGAATGGACTGACTCGCCAGCTGAACGAATGGACTCCGCATGGAGCTCCGCAAATTGGCTTTTATTTGTGACATCTTAAAGAAGCAATTTCTGTGTGATAAATATGCTATTGAAGATGAAACAGATGACAGTCACACCATGAAGATTCTGGAAGTTCTTTGGGAATGTTCTGGTGACAGCTTCTTTCTCACAACTGAACATGTTGTTATTTTCACATCTGAGAATCCTGTGACCAAACGCGTGGAACTGCGAAAGTGGCCAGAATTTATGACCCCTTTGAATACCTCTTTACCGGTATCTTGGCCTCTTTACCGTAAAGGCCAAGATTGTATTCCAAGATCTTTGGAAGGAGAACCTTGCATGGGACGCCATCATGGCAGCTGAAGAGCAAATCAAGTGGAACAGCTGGTGCTTAGAGCTGAATGGCGCAACGTGTTTCCGCCTCCCACGATACGTGTTCCTGAGGGGCAATGTCAACCCATTCACAGTCGAGCTGCATACTTTCGCTGATAGCACTTTTTTTTTAACAAGTGCGTTCATCTTTTTGTAACTGTAGCAATTCCGAAGTGCCTTATGTTCGTTGTATAGTACTGCTTGTACTCTGATGTTACAAAGATGTTTTATATTGTCAAAAGTGTGATATACCCGAATATACAGTATTCTTTCATGTTTTTTCTTTGTGTTTACGTTGTATCCTACACTCTGGTAATAGCCCTAAACAGGGCTGACAATGTTAATTAATGAATAAATGAATGAAATAAAGAGCATGTGGCACGTGCATATACGCCCGCGTAAGATGTGAATCTGGCACCTGCTTCACACACCTGTTAATCAGCAAGGGCATACTCGCTCCTATCAAGATGGTGTCACTTCTGCGCCTTGAGCTCCTCGCGTGCGTCATCGCAACGCGGCTAAGCTGCTACGTGAAATAAGTGCAGTCTCTTCAACACGCAATAGGTTTCTTCTGAACATATTTGCTAGTGGCACTCCACTGAATAAGGGGTTCATCAACCAAACTAGACCCTTTTGTAGCACACCAGGTCGCTGAAATACAACATTTCACCGATCTATCACAATGGTTTCATTGTAGCAGCAAAGGACCATCCCGCTGACTTTATTATTGGTAGAGCACCACTTACGAGACTTATCGAATCTAATATGTGATGGCACGGCGCAACTTGGCTTTCTGACCAGTGGAAACTATTTGAAGGTGCAAGCAACTCGAATAATTGCTTCACAATGACACATATTTCATTGTAGAAATCGAGTGATATTCAAAGCCTGTCTATGCCAAGTACGTCTGTTTGTCTGTCGGCTGTTTTCGTCCGTCAATGCATCTTGCGCGTAGAAGACTACAGCTCTATTACGAGGCTGCTACGAGTCACCGCATTGGCTCACGCGCTTCGTCCATAATTCTTCGCGACACCACCTATCAGTATCCGGACGTATCACGGCGGAAGAGTTAACACAGGCTGAGCGTTATTGGTTACAGACCATTCAAGAACAACCCTGTCCCAACGAAGTTCTTACACTGTGCGAGGGTCAGCCGTTACCCTCAACCTCTCGCGTTCTTCGCCTTTGTCTGTTTGTGGATAATGACGGCCTTCTTTGCGTCGGTGGACGGCTGGACCAGCTTTGTGCTAATCACGACATCTGCCATCCCATTTTCCTGGCAGATAATAAGTTCCCCAACCTTATCGTATCAGCGGCACACGTGCGCACTATCCACTGAGGTGTTCAAGCAACATTAATTGAGCTTTGAGAGCGCTTTTGGCTGCTCAAGGAACGTCAGACTATAAAGAAGATTGTTTCAAAATGCAGGAATTGTAAACAATGGAAGGCAGCAGCAGTATCTGCACCAGTGGTCCCTCTGCCTCACGAGAAAATTAGTTAAGCAAGGCCATTAACCGTTGTCAGGCCTGATTACTGTGGGTTCTTTACGTTAAACTAGCAAGGGGTTTATCAAAATCTTACGTCCTTCTTTTTTCATGTGCAGTCACATGAGCGGTACATCTGGAACTAACCTCAGACATGACTGCAGCAGCAACATTGCTCGCCTTCCGTCGTTTCGTCGCCCGGCGCGGAGTTCCTTCGATGGTATACTCCGACAACGCTCAAACCTTCCGTAGCTGCACTAAAGCAATTGCAGCTACATAACCAGCGCTTCGGGAGTACGCGGCCGTGCTACAGATACAATGGAAGTTCATTGTAGAGAGAGATTCGTGGTGGGGCGGAAGGTGGGAGCGTCTCAAAACTTCTTGAAACGCTCACTGGGACGCAGCAGCCTCGGCGTGGAAGCCTAACGTCCACCTAGAGTCTGCGGACCAGTTATTCGTTACAAAATTGATTTCACAATGCGTGAGATATGCCAGTTTTTTTTCGTCATTTAATAAGTGCCAATGTTCACTGATTTCTAGGCTACTATTTTTCGACCGACAAGCTACGTAGACAAATTACGTTTACAGAAAAGACTATTTCTGAAAAAAAATTTTCTCGGCCATGTGACTGTTCGTGGTAGTCTCTTTTGTGATTAGCCCTTCTTGTTCCGAAAAACTTTTCAGTGTCCATGCGAAGGGGGTATCAGTGGTGTTTCGTGACACGCCATAAGGCCATAGGGTAACAGCTCAGCTCGAGCAGCTGACACCCGAATGGTCATCAGCAAATGAGAGAGGAGTAAAGAAAAACAGGATTAGACTACGGAGAGGGTTTATTACCATTTGTCCACAGAAGGACAGAATGTATATTTGTTTACTTCTGAAGTGCCTCTTCCACACAGTTTGTCACTTGCCCCCCAAGTGAACGCTGCTGCTTGGTTTCGTATGCACCCAAGCGGCTAAATCACTTATTTGCCGCTGAAAGGACGCATTCAGGCAAGCAAGAAACACACGCGCACTGCAAGCGACCTACGATGTCGCATTTGTGTTTCGTCCCTTCTTTTTTGTGTCATTTCGTTTTCGTGTACATTTGTGGGAATAAATTTCAAACTTCAACTTCAAATTGCATTTCCACAGGCAATTACGTGATCTCGCAAGTGCAAAGTAGGCCATTAAAAAGTCGTACAAAGAGACACAGAAGGAAAGCGCCCACAGATCCACGCGTTGGGTGACTCAATTTCGAACCTGCAACGGGAGATCACATCGCCGAGCAAGGTTTCCGTCAGCTAAAAAGCTGAGCGAAAGCCGCGCATCAAAGTGCGTCAGTGCTGAGTATAGTACAAAGTTACCTGTGTTCAAACAAGGCGGCTAAATCCGGACCAATAAGTGCTTCTTGTAATATAATTGTTTCTAGTGATTCAGCTTCCTGGTCTTTATAACGTACCGTATCTACTTCTTCTGACGGTCGATGCGCCTCGGAAACAGCGCACAGCTCTCGCAAAAAGGAGAAAGAAAAAGCTGTAATAAATTTGGTTTTGTGCTTTCAACACACAAAAGTATACAAATATGATAGTTCATACAGGTTTTCCGGAGTCAGCTCGATGATAAGCAAACATTTTGAATTCAAATTACAAAAAAAAAACTACAAAAAATTGTATTGCACGCATTTTGAAAGCTTTTACATCATATTTCCAACATTTTTTCAAATGAACCCTCCAAAAGATTTTCATTAGAGTTTGCTGCGTTTTATGTGATTTCGCAATTGAACGTTTTGAAACGGAAGGTTTAGGTGATCAGTTACTCCCTCTTCACCAGCGCACTGAACCAGTCTTTGCGAGTATCTTAGCGACAGCCTGGATGACCCCAATAAGTCACCTGGAAGGCTGAGTGCTTTGATAAGATAAAGTAAGAATACAAATGCTTCTATTATTGTTGTACTGCAGTGCAGTGTCTATAAGAGCTTGTCAGTAGCTTGGATACCCTTCTTCGAACTCCGAAAACTTGCCGACGAGTTCTGGGCCTTTTGTTGGTTGTAAGTACTAAATTTTAGTGGAGTTCGGTTGTTCTCAGTCATTCAGCTATTTACAAAAATCCTTTGTGTAAGGTGGTCTCTACCTTTCAGATGGAGATGCGCAAAAGTGAAAGGGGAATTCCACTGCTTTTCGTTGACGAAGATGTCGAGGATGTCGCGAGTAAAGTAATTGAGCGAAAGGTACGTTTCTTACAGACATATTTTTCTATCTCAATGAATACATGTTCACTTGCGTGTCGCAACATGTCATTTAGGGAGTTGAAAGACGGACCAACTGAAACGTCCAAGCGGGAACAGGCTACTTTAGATGTCAATGCAGCGACTTCTTTTTCCTCTGGAAAGTGACGTTTGAGGAGGATAAACCTCTGCTGCCTCGAAGGGAGGCACTCGTTAAAGTTCTCTTATGGTTTATGGTCGTTATCTTCATTGATTATGCGATGACTTGCTGTGATTATTGCACGTACAGTACACGGAAGTGTCGCTAACACTACTGTTCATTATGTTTCACCCTCCATAAATATTACAAAGTGCGGTCACTGCTTCTGAATCAGATCTAAGCTCATTTTTTCCTTCTAAATATTTGTTGGCGAAGCAATAAAATAGTGTTGTGTAGTGTCGCATAAAGTGCACAGAAGGAAGTAAACACCCCTGAAGAGATAGTGATTTGAGGACTTATTGGGGCGCAGCAGCACAATGAATGACCAGGAAGTAGTTCAGAGGTCAGTGAAGAACGCGAAAACGAGTCAACGTGTTCGTATAAAAGTTTTAGTGTGTTTATGTTGAAGCCACGACTATAAGTCAAGTGAGAGATGACATGAACAGCATCCTGTTAGATACTTTAAGGCATATACAAAGCACTGTCCTATACAGATCTAATGGGTAGGTTGTTCATTGATTAACCATACGTTTTATTCTTCTGATCATATAAAGAAATGATTGCACGCTTAATTTCAACATCAAGAACAAGTTTTTTTTTGTTTGATTGCAGGGCGCTTTGCCCTATGACGCCAAGCGTATCTTGTACATGATTGGTGGTATTTGCCAGAAGACGTCGCATGGGAATAGAAAAAAATAAGTGGACTGAGAGAAGTTATGTACGACTGACTGTCTTACGTTACCTGAAGATACAAATGTCCTGTCACGTTATCTACCTGCTTGTTTACCCGCAAGCTAATTTCTCGCTAGCGCTACCTGATTATTTTGTTCTGCTGTACATCTCTTCTGAACGCGTATATATACAGACGTACGCGTACAACACACCGAGCACCATCATGACTGAGATCCTTTCCAGATATATGAAGACGAAGCTTTCTTCCTTTGCGACATACGAAATATTAAGCACAGCGTTTCTCTCTGGCAGCAAGAGCTACCGGAAATACAACCATACTACTGTGAGTAAGCCAACTTTTATACTATTTATACATATACCTCTAATTTATTAAAGAAAAATAGTTTCACTCATGTGCACCAAAAATCGACACAGTCGCGTTGTTCTATCTTTCAGAATAACTGTGCGCATTCATTATTTCATTCATTCATTCATTTACCAGTTCCCGCTTTTTTAAGGGGAAGCTGGACAGTTCGAAGATGGTTGCCGCAATATTCTGAATACAGAATACAGGCAAGAATACAAATTTTAAAAAGCAAGCAGATTATTTGAACAAGTTCTACTTACAGATCACATCAACATAAGCACAAAAATGATGTGAATAACCCTGGTATTAGCAAACGCTGTTTGACTTCATCTTGACTTTCCACTTCTTTCAATAAAGCCTAAACCTGTTTCGAATGCTCTGTGTGAAGCTGGTGTCAAGGCAGCACAAACGTGTTTCAAACGCTGCCTTAAGGCGGTGGCAAGTCGCATTCAAGTGAAAGAGTGCTTTTTGATGCGTGGATAAGGGAACCGATTGTATAAAAGTTTGTGGTACCTTCATGCCTTCATGAGCAAATAGTTCCTGTGCGAAGCGACGTGTGCACCTGCTTTCTTGAAGCGCTAGGAAAGATAATGGCATTATCGCTACGAATTTGTGGTCATGTTAGCCCGTGGCCTAGTTGGGCTGATTGCCATGATAACGCAGTGGGTGACCCTGGTTCAAATTACACCATCGATCTTGTAACAATGGTATTCAGTAATCGCTAGGCGATAATAGAATGCAACTTGACCTACTAAGGCTACCTGGTAGGCTGCGACCGATTTAAACAGGGGTTAGGCGGAATCCCTTACAGGGTGAATATTAAGTATTACAATATTTTGTCAAGCATTATACCTAACTAACACATCTGACGCCTACAGTTTTCGTTAATGCGAATGCTGCAGTGGTCTGAAAGGTGATTTCATCAGGCACAGAGGGCATCGCTCACCACTTTTTGACATTTAGATGATGTGCTGTAAAACTGAGAACAGCATCCGCATTCCTCCGAGTGGTTATCAATTTACTCACCAAGCTTAGCTCAGCGAATCATTTTTTTTTTGAAAAAATTGGAGACTAAAAAGGTGGGTTATTATTTCGTGAAAGATCATTTTGGCAGTGTTCACCACCATAACGAAACAAAATTGCGCCATTTAGGTGAACTATAATTAGTCAACCTTCGCTCATGTTACCACGTATTCTTAATGGATCAACTCAGTTGGGTGGGTTTTGTAAAAGTTTGTTTGCGGCAATGTAGCTGCGCAGAGGACTAGTGGAGTAGGTTGTTCATGCTAGAAGTCTCTCAAGATAAACCACACAAAAGCAGTGACAGGGTGTATGTACACAACCTGTTTCTTTCCCTCATTAATATGCACTATTTCACTATAAACTTGTGTGTGTGCACTGTGTAGTACACATACAGTTGCGTAACTGTTAACAGCAATGTAACTAAAAGATCATTATTTTGTTGATATTGCGTTCACTGTGGGCACATATAACAAAGCAGTCGTCAGCTCAAAAATTAGCAGACAAATTGCGCTTATTTACACGCTTTTTTTTATTTCAATGAATCAAGCCTTGAAACTTACGATCCGCATAGCTTCGAGGTTCGTTCAAAGAACACGTTTTTGAGGGCTAATAATTTTATTTTAAAAAACCTGATGCAGTGTTATCCTTAATTACACGCTTAAAACATCGTAATAGTTAGAGAATGCATTTACTAACTGAGAATCACAAGAAAAAGCTTTTTGCTTCAGCAAGAGTGCTCAGCTCTGGTGAATACAGAACAACAGCTAATGTTGTGACAAATCCTGAAACGATTTTAAAGCAAGAAACCTGTCAATTAGCACGTTAAAGCCATCTTTATTTGTAGAATTGATAATTCCTATATTTCAAAGACAACAGTCTTTTGCTACCAGAACACCCACAATCTTTTTTATTACTTTCCAGGCGTCAGATGCTGCTCCAATTCAGTCATTCTGCGCACTCTCAGCTCAAGCGGAGTAAATTTTGCTTGTGGCTCCAAGGTATGAACACTGTATTTTGAACTTTTGCTCCTTAGGCGACTGCGCGCACAAGTCATTCGACTTATTATTACAATGGAATGCAGCAATACGAAGGCTGGAAATTAAAAACAAAGCGTGTGAATGCCTTTCTATGCTGTTTGAATGAAAGTCTTCCCTTGAGATGTTAGCATTAGAGATACAAAACAAAAACAGGGTGAATAGCCTAAAACTAGTTTTTGTCGAGGAATAAGAGTGATGGTGATGCCTGTGCTATAGTTATGATGGTAATTTTTTGGCATGTGTTTTAAAACAGGAATAACTTTTAACTAATAAATATTTCATCTATCACGCTGTAACATTCTGGATATATGTTTTTTAGGGGCGAAGTTCCTTAGGGCGTGGGCTGTGCGTCCCCTGTAGCCTGTATGTAGCCACCTCTAGTTTAGTTCTTGCAGTGTTCACTAGATGGCGGTACCGTCCCCTGTATGTAGCCACCTCTAGTTTAGTTCTTGCAGTGTTCACTAGATGGCGGTACCGTCTCCTGTATGTAGCCACCTCTCGTTTAGTTCTTGTAGTGTTTACTAGATGGTGGTACTTGTAGCTGATGATGAAAAGATGCAAGATGTTATAAACTAGAAAGCGGTACTTGTAGTTGATGAAAGACGCGAGATCTTATACAGGAACCGCTCTCCCTTCATTTCACAGACCATAAAGCCGTCATAATGAAGGGACATCGCAAGCCATCCATCGTCTAAGAACAAATAAAAGTTGATTTGTGTATGTACACACACAGCGTTTCTCACGTCTTTACATGATGATCGACTGGGCGAATTACACGGAAGATTCACAGTTTACCGATGAATTCCTCCGGAGCTTCGCCCATTCATCATCATTCACCCCGTGAATATGCCGTAATTTTTTCTCCTCTTTTTCAATCCAACCTCTATTTTTATACATTTCTGTTGCCTATGGTTGTAGCTATTGCACCTTTACCAAAATGATCTTTTTCGCTAGCACTGTAAACAGTTTTTCCGCGGACCAGTTATACTAACATCCAGCTTTATTCACAACATCTGCGAATTTAAGGTCGATTTCTTCTACGGTTATTTCTTGCTAAATACCTCAGCATTCCATATTGATGTGCAGTCTCTTGCGCACTCTTTTTCTCGTAGCAGACGCATGCCTCATTCTGCTTTTTGGTCGGAAGCACCCAACTTTTACACGATACAAAAAAGAAGTGACACAGGCGCTTAACTACAGCTAAGCGTTTATATCAAAACGTCAAAATATAAAGAGTAAAGAAGAAAAGTGAAACGAAGACCAAACAATCAAACGTCCAAGTGTCATGTCATACAATAGTCACCCTTTCTCATTAATCATACGATTCAGCAAACAAAGTTCTTTTCGCGTGAACAAGATTGAGGGTGCGCTTACACACTCAATGTCATCACGTGTCATTTTCGCTGCTTCAACAAGCACACCGGTTAACTCACCCCCAACAAAACATAAAAAGTATGTGTTGTAAAAATACGGCACGCAATTACACTCTTTACAACGTATAGCCAAGTGACCATTTGTAGCTTTTAAAGCGAAGCATTTCTTAACAAACCTCGGCGACTTAGAGCGTATCTATCTATCTATCTATCTATCTATCTATCTATCTATCTATCTATCTATCTATCTATCTATCTATCTATTTATCTATCTATCTATCAAAATTTGCCGCGTAATGATGCTCCCCTTCAGCGACGTAAGACGACACAACCTTAAAAATATTGAAAATAGGGTTGGTGTAAAAGTGATTAATGTGCAAAATTGACCCTTATAAAAGTACCAATGAACTCTTGGTCCTCATTTCCCAACGGCTGCGAAGCAACTGTCCATACGGTGGTCAAACGCGCAACGCAGCGGAGGGTGCTTAGAATCTCTGGGTTTGAAAAGGTCGCCATTGAAATCTGGACTTGGCTACCTTCAACGCTACGATGCTATCTAGTGAGGCTAGTCTATCTTTGCTATTCGAGTATTTCGAGTGAGTTAAATGGGATGTTATGGGGCTCAGCAAAGTTAGGAGTGGAAGAAACGCTTATACAGTACTGAAACAAGGACATGTTTTATGCTTCTATGAATTAGTTGACAGAAAAGAACACGGGGTGGGGTTTATTATACACATAAATATCGCGGGCAACATGTAGGAGAACTACACTCTAAAAAAATATCGACTAAAAAGGGGGTCTTTTTGTCCCGCAACAATAATCGTCATCAGGCTTGCGTGTGCTTCCTTTCTTGAAAACTTGGCGCTATCGAAAAAGCAATGTAACCCTGATAATGGCCATGTCGATCGTGACCGGAATGTACCGGGCGCGCGGCGATAGCGCAAGGATGGAACACAATATATTGATGATTGATTGATTTGTGGGGTTTAACGTCTCAAAACCAATGTAAGATTATGAGAGACGCCGTAGTGGAGGTCTCCGGAAATTTCGACCACCTGGGGTTCTTTAACGTGCACCCGAATCTGGGTACACGGGCCTACAACATTTCCGCCTCCATCGAAAATGCAGCCGCCGCAGCCCGGATTTGATCCCGCGACCTGCGGGTCAGCAGCTGAGTAACTTAGCCACTAGACCACCGCGGCGGGGCGGAACGCAATATAGATGACGATTGTTGTTGTGGGACAAAAAGACACCCTTTTTACTCGCTCTTTTTTTAGAGTGCATAGCTTCAGTCAAAGGGTGGCAACTGTCATAATTAGATTTAACAACAAGTACATAAAAAAGGTGGTACCGGCCTACGTGCCTATGACAAGACATGATGATCATTCGATTCAACACTAATATGAAGACGTAGAGTCAGCCACTAATAAAGTAAAGACAGAATATGATATGCTAATTGGTGACTTCAATGACTAAGTAGGCAAGAAACATTCCGGAAATTGTGCAATGGAGGAATATGACATCGGTTTTATAAACGCCAGAGGAGAGTTATCAGTAAGTAGAACGTAATAATTTAAGAATCTTTAATACCTTCTTCACAAAACGGGCTAATCGTAGTAGACTTGGCGAAGTCCTAATGACGGGACTGAAAATAGAACTGACTTCATTTTCTGAGCACACCCAGGCATGGTACAGAATGTAGAAATAATTGACAACATCGGATGCATTAACCATAGATTGGTAAGGGCTCGTATTTTCATAGATAAAGAAAGCAAAGGCAAAAACTGATACATAAAAGCCCATTAAATAACTGGCGTTAAGAGGAAGAGTACAAGAATTCAGTGTTTGGCTTCAGAATAGATTCGAAACTTTAAACAAGGTAGCTGACGTTACAGTTGACTCAATTAACGATAATGTTACTAGTATCATCAAAGAGTGTGCATTGAAACCCGGAGGTACAGTCACTAGACAGGACACAGGCAAATTATCTAAGGAGACAAAAAATCTCATTAAGAGACGACAAACTATATTAGCCTCAAATGCAACCGACAATATAAAACTAGGAGAGTTTTCAAAGCTAATCCATCGGAGCAAGGTAGCCGACATCAGAAGATATAAATGGAGAGCAGGCTGTAAAAAGCGGTAGGCTGTAAAACGCTGCAGAAGCCTGAAAGCTGCGAAGTTAAACTTGGGCATAGGCGAAAATCAGATGCATGCATTAAGGAACAAAGAAGGTAATGTCAAAACAAATATAAATAGGATAGGTTTTGCGGCGGAGGAGTTCCACAGAGAGCTGTGCAGAAGCCGAGACAACCAGGATGATATCATAAGAAGCAATAATAGCCCAGAGGATTCTACATCATACCAGTAACGACAGGGGAAGTGAGGAAATCTCTGGTAAAAGTGCAAAAAGGCAAAACTGCTGTGGAGGATAAGGTAACAACGAACCTGCTGAAAGACGGCGAAAAAATTGTGTTACAAAAATGGGTCACCTTATATACGAAGTGTCTCTTGACGGGGAGGGTACCAGAATCTTCTAAGAACGCTAAAATCTATTTAATACACAATAAAGGAAACGTCAAGTAGTTGAAAAGTTACAAGCCAATAACATTTCTGTCCATTCTCTACAAACTATTTAAAAATAATAGTTATTAGAATCAGGGTGACAATAGAGTTTAGTCAACCAAAAAAGCAAGCAAGATTTTGTACAGGCTACTTCACAATATACCATATTCGAACTATCATTGAGGTAATATAGAAATGCTCAGAATGCAGCCAACCCCTATTCATAGCTTATATAGATTACGAGCAGGCATTTTACCCAGTCGAGACATCAGCAGTAATGCAGGCGCAACCGAATCATGGCATCAACGAACCCTACATAAACATACTTGAAGAAATCTAAAGTGTATCCACAACCACCATATAGTTCCCCATAAAAAAGCGACAGAATACCAATACGAAAAGACGTAAGGCAGGGAGACACAACCTCTCCAGTGTTATTAAGCGCGTGTTGACAAGAGCTTTTCAGTGCCCTAGGTTAGGAAGAATTATTAATAAGAGGTAATGGAGAGTACCTCTGTAACTTGCTATTCTCTGATGGCATTGCCTTGGTGAGCAACTCAAGGGACGAATAACAGCTGCTCATGATTACTGAAAAAGACACGTAAAGCAGAAGAGTCGGTCTCAAACTTCATATGCACAAAACTAATGCGCAAAGTCTCGGCAAGCAAAAAAATGGCATTTTGTGATAAGAGAGAGGCATTGGAATTTGTAAAACAATAAAGGACTATGGCAACTTACGACAGCTAGTAAGCGCCAAGCCGAACCTTGCATTAACTAGAAGAATATTGATGGGGTGAATCACATTCAACAAGTATTCCCAAATAATGAATGGTAATCTGCCGCTAACCTTCAACAGCGCGTTATGTAACAGCAGCATCTTGCTGGTACTTACCTACAGAGGAGAGACCTGGAGGCTTACAAAGAGGGCTCAACTTAAGTTGAGGACCACGCAGTGAGAGATAGAACGGAAAACAATAGGTCTATTCTTAAGAGACAAGAAGAGAGCAGAGTGGTTCTGAGAACAAACCTGGGTTAAGGATATCATTGTTGAAATCAAAAAGAAGTGGACATGGGCCAGACACGCTGCACGTAGGTGGGATAGCGACTGGTCATTAAGGGTAACTTACTGGATTCACAGATAAGACACACGAAGGGGAGACCGAAACTTAGGTGTGCCGATGAGATCCAAAAGTTTGCAGGTGTAACGTAGCAGCATAAAGCACAATACCGGGTTGATAGGCGGATCATGGGAGAGTCCTTTGCCCTGCAGTGGGAGTAGTGAGACTGATGATGATCATGAAGCGTGGTCATGTCTGCTCATGAGAAACTGTAGAAAGAAACATGTAACGAAACCTGTCCTGTGCACAATGAAAAGAAGGGTTGGAAGATCAAACACCGGAATGACTATGCTGAGTGGGCACCACCCATTGTTTATAGAGTACCCTTGTCTTGCAGTGGTGCATACATAGGGCACACTCAAAGATGTATTATTGAGACGGCAAAAGAACATCACAACAAAGTGCAAAAAGCTACAGAAAGTTACTTGGCCATCTGTTGTGGTGAGTGTGGTTGCGGGTCGTATTTTGACAGTGCATGCTTTTTTTATCTTAGCAGCAATTAGTTAACCGGTGTGACTGCTGAAGCTGCGAAAACGACACGCGATGATTTTGAGTGTGTAAGCGCACCCTCCATCTTGCTCATGGGGAAAGAACTTTGTTTTCTAGTTGATGTGATGGATAAGAAGGGATGACTGTTGTATGGCACCACACGTTGGCTTTTGGCTGATTGGTTTTCGTTTCTTTTATTTTATTTACCTTTACACCAATATATTCTGACGTTTTACAATAAACGCTCTGTTCAAGTTGGGTGCTTGTGTCTATTCTACGTGTCTCGTGTAAATGTTAGGTGCTTCCTACAAAGACAGATCTATACCAGCTGGTCGAGTATAATTGCTCATTCTGCTTGTTCCGAAACATTATTATCCCCAACTACAAGCTCAGAGCATATGGAATCTCTAACAAGTTTCTTCCCTGGCAGGAAACAAATTATTTTAGTAGGCTTTTTTAATGACCACCTCAATCATTCTTTTTTGTGTTGGCAATGGACATGTGCTGTAGGGAGGTATTAGAGTTTTATTGCAAGTAGTGGCTGTACGCATCAAAGTGACGTGCGTGTGGCGTGACCCTCCGTTCGCCAGTATCGCTTCAAGTTTCTGGGGCTTGTCCTTGAGAGCGCCTAATAAAAGAATGGAAGTTTTTCGGGAAGCTCGCCTGTTTGCTTGATAAATGGAAATGAAACCAATGGGTAATTAGGTGAAAAATAACACACGATAATGTTTCTTGCATTCACTTGTAGTGCAATATTTAGTAAATAACATGAAATTATGATTGCAGGCGAAAAAAACCTAGTCCGTCAGCAGGTCCCACTTCTGCAAGCGAATTAAAAAATACACATTGCGTTGTTTTTGAAGAACGATTTTGTCACCGCCCTGTATTAATGCAGTGACTTGCGCGTTGTCGTAGTGTGTTTGCCATTCAGTTAACTCGGCGATTCCGTAGAACGGGAAGAAGATGGCACAAAGCTTTAAATGTAAATTAAAGGCATAAATATTGTACAGGTTGATCTACTTGATATGCGCTGAATTCTTACGTTCAAGCTCGCTTAGGGGTTACACGACAAGCGGTATACACTCCTGCATGACATACCAAAATTGAAAATACAATCGCGTGACAAGCAACCTAGCGACTGTGCTAGTGGTTTATTAAAAGTTTGCAGAACGCTTGTTATTTAGTGAACGTAATTCAAACGTGCCAAAAAAGTTCAAAGGAAGTGCCAAAACAGAGGTTACAAATATTGCAGAAGTATGAGCTCCTTGTTAACCACGATCCTCGTAATTAGTAGCGCAGGGCATGCTGGTTTACGAATAACGTGTTGTTATCGAGTACGTAACTTGTTAATGAATGTTATTCTCGCATTACTCGCATGCAACAGGGGCTTATGCATGTTTGAGGGTAATTGTGTCTTTGGAAGGCACTGTATTGAGTGCCCTCATTGACTGGCGATCGACCGAAATCACAAAATCACAATGTTACTAAAGTGCCACCACGCGCATTTTACTGCGTTACGCGGACCGTTGCCTGTAGTACAACGGGTCGAACGGCGACGGCAGGAAGGAATGCAGCTTTCTCTCACGAAAAAAAAAAGACTTAAGATTATGGAATCCTCCGTCTGTTCACACATAGTTACTCTTGGCAGTGAAAACATATTTTACAGTGAAACTGAGTGACGCGGGCCCTTATGCATTAGCTTTAGAGGACTTGACGGTGAAAGCCATCTGGCGTGACTATTTTACCATGCACTTTGTATCTTGCGGGCAGCTTTTTATTTTCTTTTCTTTAGTCATGATAATGTAACGATGAAGAAATGAACGTGAAGCTAACGTGTCTCTATCCACAAGGCATGGTTGGTTATATATGTGACTTTTTCTGCCACACACCAACTTTTCGCCAACGTGCCCGTGTAATGAACAGTTTAAGGCTCTCGCCTTAATAGAAGGCAGAAACACAGTGCGACATTAGCATGATGACTCTTATTTTATGGCTAGATTTTCCTTCCGTGGGAGCACTTCAGATAATTGCTTATGGACGTAGCTGTATTTTCTATTTGCTAATGGCACTGGAAAGATAGCGCACATACATTAGGTTTCGAAGTAAACTTAAAAACTAAAAATATACCAGAGTAGCTAAACTCGTCCGTGTGAAACATTTTGTGAATACTGATCTAATTGGGCAAGTAAAATTTTTCACGCTTTCTACTGAATCAATTTAAGCTAAAGTATGCGCTTCAAAACAGACACAAAGCTAAAAATAGAGAAAAAACAAATTATACCCCCAACCAACTCATAGGAGAACTTTGGTATTCTGAAAAAGATAAGTGACGTGATTTTTTACTTTTTTTTCAGTAGAGCTATCTACCTAAAAGCTAAATCATTTCTATCGCTATTACTTTCTAATAGCACGAAATACAAACTTTACTGGAGATGGGTGTCAAAGAGAACCGCATTTTGTATGAGAGCACGACCAAATGTCCTTCGCATCTGAAGTACGCCGAAAAATGCGGAGTGCGGCTTATGTGCTCTGACTCGGCAGTTGATATGGAAAGGATCAGAGATGACAAGGCAAGGTAAGTTCAGTCCCGTGGCCTCCATTTTGGTCAAACCTTGTACTTTGGTAATGCTCACGTTGATTACACGGACTGTCTCACCTATAGCAGGCACACTATCGGCGTCAAATGAAACGCGAACAGCAGAGCGCGTTGACCGAGCAGTAGTAACGGTATAGTGAGCTCTATCCGGCCGTCATTATTGACAGGTGCGCATACTCGGTTTAGCAGCTCTGCACGACTCCTGTATAATGCAATATTTTGCTTGCGTTCTAGTTCTGATGTGGTAATGGTAGGGTACAGCGCTGGTGCGCCGAGCGAATTTGTTATTTCACTTTTGTTTTGCGTTTTTTGTTGCCTGCTTAAGGAGTGTCAGAACCAGAAGAGGAGCAAACATATCGTATTGTAGGCGAATCGCGCCGTGCTGCCAGACCAGATTTGGGAAGTAGACCTGTTTATGATGACTGGAGGGCGCACACTGCATCTTTGCTAATGCTTGCGGCACGCGCTCCATCGTTTATGTTACTTTGAACCTAATTTTTCAGATCTTTTAAAAACTAAAGCAAATCTGACGCGAAAATGGCAGGAAATCTTGTTTGAAGTTGAGTTGAAAGACTGCAATAAGCTTTATGCAGTGAGGTTCAATAAGTCAATATAAATGTAACGTTCTAGCTTTAACATATGTTATTGTCATCACAATGAGTTAGCTAATCAGTGGTAGGTAATAGTCAGACGTGAAAAACTGAATGCTTCAAGCTACCTGTTATTTTTTGCCGGTGTATGAAGCCCAGCAGATACGAAGCTCACTGCGAGACCTAACGCAACTCCCTACAAGGTATAGAAGGCTGCGTGGGAGAGCAAGCTGTTCACTTAAAGCTCGCCCCTACAAATTAGCACGTTCACGACGATAAGAATTGTCTTTGTAGTGTAATATCATCTGGGGTTTCACGTTCCACAATCAAGATATGATTATGAGAGACGCCGTAGAGGAGGACTCCGAAAATCTGTCAAGACCTGGTGTTCTTTCATGAACACTAACATCGCACAGAACACGGGCGTCGTTCGTTTCACGTCCACTGAAATGCGACCGCTGTGGCAGGCATCGAACCTGGGACGGCTCAGCAGTCGAGAACCGTAACCCCTATTTTACTGTGGCGGCCCGGGAAGGATTTCTTGGAAAAAGCAAGCGTCTTTGCACACGCTAGCTTCTTAATCTAACATTTACGTCAAAATATACTAGCATCCCAAAAACTATGACAGCTTCACTCTATTGGTGCCAAACCTGAAGGAAGAATGCAGCTTGGTGCCTTTGCTTGTTCTTTTCGTTAGTTTTTTTTTGTCTTTCTCTTTCTGTATGTTTATTTTATTCTTTTTTGTATCTGTTTTTTTGTATTTTGTTCTTCCTATTTCTTTCTTTATGCAATATTTTTTCTCACTCTTTCATTGTTTATTTATCTTTCATCTATTTTTTTCATCTTTCTCGCTCCATATCTCTCTGTGCTTCTTTCTTTTTGTTTGATGTGAAGAGTTTTATCATCTGTGAAACACGAGTGCAAGAAAAAATATAACGCATAGGACAACGCTGGTCTTGAAAGTGAACTTTATTAATCCTTCAGTCACAAAAAAATGAGGGAACAAATATTATCGTGTGAAAACCACTTCTGTAAGTTAGTGATCCCTTTTTATTTCCAAGAAAGCCGATTCGAAAGTAGAGGAGTGTGTTATTGCAAAGAAAACGATGAAATTCAAATGTCTTACTCCTCACTTCTCTTCACTCATACACTTCGCCGTCCTCCTCAGGCAGTTAAAAAAGGTTCTTGTGAACTGATTCGAAGTGATTTTCATGCACGTAGAGGCATGTTACAGAATGGGCATGTGCTTTGCGAGCACTCATTCGGCAGTTCAGCAGCAGTGGCGTCACGATCGCATGCCGGTAAAATTTGGTTGGACAGCGTTCCCACCAAACCAATGCTCATGCGGACATGAATTGTCACATCATCCTTAACAGAGTTCTCTAGCAACCTACGCAGTAACATAATTGCTTCCTCAGCAGTAAGAGGCCTGTTCTGTTCAGCAGAAGAAAATTAGGGCAGTTACGCCGTAGTGTTGCAAAGACTCAGAAAGCAGTGGATCTGAGGGTGTTGACCTCCTCCTCACCCTCGCTTCCATTTCCTACTTCCTTCCTGTTATATACACGGCTATGCTTGCTGTCTTTTTTTTTGTATCTATTATCAGCGCCTGCCTATCTCTCACTCTTTCTTTCTTTGCTTTCCCTGTAATCACCTTTATGCATTTCTTTCTCTTCAACGTCTATTTCACACTATCTGTACTGGTTTTCTCGCCTTCTACCTTTTCCTCTCTTTCTCGCCTTGTTTCCCCACTATTGCTGTCTCTCTCTTTCTTTCTATTTCTTTCTTTTTTTCTGTCTTTGTGTTCACTTTCTGTCACCCATCACAGTTATTGCGTCACAGGGGGAGCTAAATTGCGCTCGAAATCAGAGTGATACAGAATATGAAGAGCAGTACGAAGAGAGCGCGTGCCAGTTTGTGACGGCGATAGCTTTTAGGTGTCACCAATTCTCATTACGCAAAGTTTGACAGCTGCGCTGTAAAATGGTGCCATTAATACAGACCAAACCGCCCACGCGCTCTAACTATCGGCGCTAAACGTAAAATAGAGCACAAGAATAACACTGCTGTTTGTAAAAGACGTGCAGTTATTATATACATGTTTGAACACCACAAAAATGCTGATAGTTCTTGCTAAGTGGTTACTGTAGTGCAAAAAAACACAATATTTATTTATCCGCCACATTTTTCTTTGCCTCAAATAAGCCGCAAGAACACATAAGCACCCAAATGCCGAAACACACAAAAAAATAGGATTGCTCTTGGATTTCTGCACGCTTCTATTTTGCGAAAATATCACGAAACTGGATAAGTTAAGTTGCAGCGTGCTCAACATAGTCAGTCATTGTGTTGTATGTGGTAGCGCCAGCTCTCTCAAGGAGCTACAGTGCCTAAAACTAGAAATAACAAGTGTGACATGTTTGTCCCGATATCCAACAAAGGGTTAAAATACTGTAATAGAGGTTTTTAGCAAGTTACGGAAACACGTTACGGAAATACTACACAATTCCTTTCTGTGTGCGCGTACAATGATCGCCTATGCGCACTCGTCAGCCGGTTCCGTGTGGCCGCCATTCCGTAACGTGTTTCCGTAGCTTGCTAAAAACCTCTCTTAACGCGAAGCCTCTGTGAAGCTTATGCTCACATCCGTCCATCTTTATGCCCGCCCGTGCCTTGGCATGGTGCCAGGTGGCCATCGGAGGGGGATAATTGACGCCGGTCACGTCTGTCACGCGTTGGACTATTCATTGCAATAAGTACAATCATGAAAGAAGGGAGACAAGCGCATCACGTCCTATTCTGACCGAACCCTTCACAATGAGCACAGGCGTTCGCTGAACACTCTTTCTGAATTACAAAGTGCCCTTAAATTTTTCTCCAAAACACCACCACAGATGCGCAAACAGCCAACAGCGAAATTTCATCAACATACTATCTAACACCCTCCACTTTGTTTATCTTAACCTTAATCCTAACTCGTGCGCTACATGGTAAATTACAGATTCACCTGGTATCGAAATACTTTATCAATATTTTCTACCGAAGGTTCGCTGACAGTTAATTAAGCGCCCAAGTTCCTGATGGGGAAAGCTTCGCATATTTCTCTCTCCAGCCTATTGCGTTCATTCCCCACATTCAAGACACAACCAAAAAAAGGGGTGTGAATCCGCAACTCTTCCTGTACAAGGGCAAGTGCTCTCATGAGCCAGTTGGCAGCATGCGCTAGTTGAAGCATTGGCCCATCTGGTCGAAATGAAACCGGTGTTCTATATAATACAGCCTCTCAATAAAGTTAAGTAATACGTTCTGGCTTTTTTCCGTGCGTCACTTTCTTCTTCTTGTGCTTGCGTTTGAAACTTGCCGGAATTCTTCACCTACCATCATGTAAGAACTTGCTCAGAAAATTACACTGCTAAACTTTTCGCTTTCTTTCTTTGTTTCTACTTAGCTTTCTTGTTCTCTTCCCTTCTTTCTTTCGGTTTGTCTTATCTCTTTTTTCTGATAGTTTCTTGCTATCTTTTTCTGTCTTTCTACCTCTTCATTTCTATCATATCGCTTTTGTCTCTTTCTCTCTTGTTTCCAACTCTTTCTTCTTTTCTTCTTCACTTTTTTGTTTTAGTTTAACACTTGCTGTACATGGTAGTGGGGTTTTCCCAGATCCTGTGGCGCCTAAACATTTGAAGAGCTTTGTACTTGATGGTAAAAACAATGAAGAGAAGATATGCCAGGCTCATCGTTGCGTTTGGTTTGCGAATAAATAGAAACGGTATATCATCTATTTTTATTCTGTCATCGATATTCTTATCAGCAAAAAAGATATCTGGTAGGTCCACTTGAAAAATTATGATTAGAATTAAATGTGGCAGTACTTTTATTGTTAGGCAGCTTTAAATTACGGTAAAGCCACAGGGACGTCTGCTCTGTGATATTTGACTACATAATCGAAACAAAGCGAATGCCATGTTAGTGTGCAATTTTTTACCTATATTATTCGTTTCGTACCCATCACTACCTCTGTCTCAAATCACACCATGAAGCCTGCATCCTTGCTCAGATATACTCCTTTTTCAATTATTGGATATATATATATATATATATATATATATATAAATATATATATATATATATATATATATATATATATATATATATATATATACATATATATGTATATATATACATATATATATGTATATATACACATATTATATATAATACATATATACATACATACATATATATTTATATATACATATTATATATATAATATATATATATATAGATATATATTTATATATATATATATATATATATATATATATTATTTTAGTCAGTCCAAAATTACTTTGTATTAGTAAAACGATAAGCCTTTAACTTAAAGATCCGGCCACC